GGAGGAGAGGCAACAGAGGAAGCCTCCTCCCATGGAAGGCTGGCTCACTCCTTATTCTGAGGCTCTGCAGGGATGATAAGGAATGAAAGAGAGCCCGCTGCCCCCAGGGGCTTGTCTCCTCTTTGGCGGAACTGGTACCCAGTCCTGGGCATCCTGACTCATTCCAGCCCAGCAACCAATTCTCACCTCCAGCTCCTTTTTCATATGAATAAACTAAGGCTTTGAAAAAGATTACAAACCCTTTGTCCAAGTCCCACATCTAGTAAACTGCAGAAGTGGTCTTCAGTACCAGACCCCTCCTGAGCACAATCTCACACCCCCAACATGGCGCCCGCACTTCCCTACAGGATGTACTTCCTTTGTGTCTTGGGCCGCCGCACCCACACCTTTTCCTATACCTCCAGTGGCAAAGATGGGAGTATGTGGAACTGGCATAATTGAGTAGAAGTTACAGATATGTCAGTACTGGGGGAGAGTAATAAATTTGGGGACCCATCTTAGAGTAGGTTGGAAGATTCCTCCTTCCCGGGCAATGGAGGACACATCTTCAGAGGCAATGGCCCGGAATATGTTCATTTCTTACAAACTTCAGCTTCTGCAGATATAGCTCCCCTTGCTCAGGCTACCGTTGCTGCCCCCTCCCTGTGTTGCGGACAGCCCCCTCTCCATGGCACAGACCCTGGTGGCCTCTGGCATGCTGGTAGGGCTCTGATTGAGATGCAGACCGGCTGAGCATTCTCATCATTGTCACCATGACGTTGTGAAACGAGTTGGGTGGAGAGTGACATGGGAATCCATCTTGAACAGATCACTCTATTCTAGGAGGAGTGGGAAAGATGAAACAACCAGTTTCGGAACCAGTTGCAAAACCTGCTCTACCCACTTCAGTTGGAGTAATTGAAGGGATACTAGGCAAGAGGTGTCTTTCCAATTTTCCCCATAGCAACCAGCCTTCTACCAAACACCTTCGAAGATCCTCACCCCTTGTCTGGTTTCAAAAATGAGCTCCTTCTTAAATTGGTAAAACAGTCTTCTCTCTAATTAGATTGCCTTTAAATGGAAAATCATGACAATTTCCAGAGTATAATTACTATTGGTGAGCTCCTATTTTGTAACACATGCTAACGGTGGACTTATTTATGTTGATTTATGTTGGCTCAAGATTAATCAGCAAGTGAGGTACTAGAGGAAACACCCTGCCCCAAATCAAGATGTCATTGATACAATTCATAATGTGACTTGGGTATTGGACAGAAATAAAGAAAGAGTTCATTTGATTTTTTTAAAGTCTGAGTAACCAATGAGTATCTGTCAGGCGCTGTGAAACTTCCAATAGGGATAGAGAGAGAGAGATGATAAAGGGATAGAAATAGAGAGAGAGAGAGAGAGAGAGGGAGATAGAGCTGAGAGATAGAGATAGGGAGAGATGTTATAGGGACATAGATATCTATAGATATAGAGACGACGGAGATACAGATACAGATACATAGATATCGATACTGATGCACATAGAGATGTAGATAATATTCACCCTTCAAAGTCTGATCCTGTAATTAAGACATACCAACACAAGGTGGCAATATGATAGCTGCTTTGGTTAATAAATGCAAAATAATGCAAGTACCATCCATTTGTCAAATTCATTATTAATTAATTCTTCTTCTTTTTTTGAGATTTCACTTCTAGAATCACAAAAATAGATAAAATAGTATAGCTAAAAGGAATTTTGAAGCTTATCTGATTTGTGCCCTCATTTTATATCATAAAAGGCAAAATGGCTTGACTTAAGTCACACCCAGACACCCTGTCACTCAACCCAGCATCCTTTCCTCTACAACACGTTGCTTCTTTTATCCATCCAAAGCATTTATAGAGCACCTACAGTATACCAGATCCTAATTTGATATATTAAAGAGCAAAGCATATTCCCCTTAAAGTAGAGGTGATATGGGCTATTCTCTTGGTGATAATTCTAAAGCAAAAGAGACCCGAAGATGAGTGAGGAATCTGGATTTCTGCTGCCTGAGCCTTGTTTTCTATAAAAAAGTAACAGAACTTCCCTGGGAGTTCATGACCTTCTTGGGGCAGTGTATAACGGTCAAAATGCATACAGAGAGACCTGGTCTAGGACCTAAGCGAACATTGTTTCCTCTGCCCCAAGAGGCAAAAGTCCCCTTCTCTAGAAATTTAGTTCAGGACTAATTTTCTTCTCAAATACATGTAGTTCTACAGGAACCAGGGGTTAATAGTGGTTGCCTTGTACGAAAGCCTGGAGCCATGAGTGCAGAAAATGGATGTTGTCCCCCGGGGGACAAGTGAAGAGGCAGCTCGGCGGGGGGGGGGGGGGGGGGGGGTTGAATCCCCTCCCAGGGAGCCCACATGTGGAAGGCACCTCCGGCTCTGGGCGGCACCTGCTCCGGGACACGGACCCGCCCTTCGCTTTTGCTCTGATCCTTTGTTGCCTCTCCTCACCCTCCCTCCTGCCCACACAGAGCTCCGCATAGAGCCTGGCACCAATTAGGGTTTTGTGAGTATCTGTTGAATGAAGACGTTGGCAGAAAACAGCTCTTGGACTCACCGTTTCAAATTAAGGGGAAGTGTCTCTCTCTTCTTCCCATCCACGTGACCAGGTACGTGCACGGCTCGGGGGATGATTCACAGCACCATGAATCATCAGCTAAAGTAGTAATGGCAGTGACAGGTTTTAAGGCCAAATGGTGAGCTTTCTGTAGCACAGCTGACTTCAGACAATCTTCAGAACCCATTTCGGCCCTTCCACTGGTCATCGTGTGCATTTGCTGCTGTCTCCTCAGGCTTGAAAGAGACCCGCTGTGCTGAGTCACTTGGTCATTCAACAGACGTTTACTGGGCACCTTCTGTGTGCCTGGCCCCATACGAGGCACGAGGGATTTTAGTGGTGGGGAAAACCAGGCCCTTCCCTGCCCTGTTTAGCTTAGTCCACGAAGGGAGAAAGGCATTAATCAGACAGTCCCATGAACACAGGATGATGGTTACCAAGGGCAGGACTTGGTCCCGTGCACGCATGTAATGGAAGGTTCTGAGCTGGACTCAGAGAAGGCTTTCCTGAGAAAGTGAAGACTAAATCAAGATCTGAGAGGCAACAGGTGTTGACTGGGCTGGGGCAGGAAAGGAGCATTCCAGATGGAGAGAATAATAGGACTGCTGCTGGACAGCATAGCAAGGCCCCAGGTAGTGGGAGGGCTCAGGGAACAGAGGACTGGACAGGACCCAGGAAGGCTCAGACGCTTGGGGAGAATCTCGTTCCTTCTTCTGGGAAGAATTAGATGTGACTGGTGGGTACGGGAAGTGGACACGATGAAGGGGGCGTGAGAGGTTCCCTCCGGAGCTGTGGGGAGGAGGGAACGCAGAGCCCGGAGAGTGGGCATGGGGTGCAGTTAGGAGGCAGAGAATGTGGGCCGGTGAGGAAACAAGGATCCTATTCCTGGGTGAGGTTGCATGAGTGTGAAGAGCCTAAGGCTAAAACCAAATACCAAGTTAATCCTCAGGGGCCCCAGCTTGGCCAGCAGCCCGGGTGCGTGCACTGAGAGCCCACCACAAACCACCTGCTCACCCCGGAGCTGCCTGTAAGACCAGGGTCTGGGGTGCATCAGGGCAGCCTTGAGGGGAGAGGGAGGAGGGACCCTTCAATACCCAACGTCCCAACTCCATGCGGCCTCAGGCACCTTCCACATCTGTCATCTCCAGGAAATCTCACAACAGTCCTTCATAGTAGGAATTAATTCCTATCGCCCCATTTGGTGGATGAGGAAACTAAGGCTGAGAGATGCAGAGCCCTTCAGGATCCAGGGGAAGAGGTAGATTGTCGCTGGGAGTGGAAGTCTGGGTGCACTGGGCAGGTGCGGATTCCTCAGACAGAGCCTTTTTGCCTAGCCCGTCCCACCCCCTTAGTGGTCTGACCTTATGCCAGTTAGTTAACCCAGAATAATGACCCCCAAGTCCTCAACTTGAAGAACCAGCTGAGGTAGCATATAAAAAAGACCTTCTTCGGGCTCTGCTCCCTGATAGACACTCATGACAAGATGGCTGTGGAATCTGTGGCCCGAAGAGGTGGGTACGGAGCCAGGGATCCACAGCAGGCTGGAAGCCTCTGGCCAGTTCCAGCAGAGGTGAGGGCAGAGGACCTCGGAGGCCCGGGTAAGGGAGAGACGAAGAAGACTCCACCCTTGGGGAGGGGATCGTGTTTGTGGGTTCATTAGCCAGAGAACATAGGCTTCTGACATTTGAGAACAAAGGGAAACAGAATTGACCTGAGTCAGGACGTTTTTAAAGGGACAGCGTCCTGTTAGAGATTGGATGGCAGACTTCTCCAAGCCTGTGAGCAGTGGAGCGTCCAAGAATATTCTTCTGTTCTTTGATCCCCTCATGAGCTCTATTTCAGGCAGACTAATGGGCACAAATCTATTCTGAGTTCGGAGGGCTGCTCAGCGTCAGCTGGGGGCTGGGCCTTGGGCAGAGCGTTGGAGAGACTCTGTCCTCCTCAGTGGCCTTGCTGTCACCCACTCTTGACCCAGCCCATCAACTGTCACAGTGGGCCAAGGCCATGCTGTGCAAACCTCCCTCCACCTGAAGGTCGGTCGGGGCAACCTCTAGGAGCCCTGCCTCCTCCATTAACTTGAGGCAGGCCCCAGTGGACGCTGGGAGAGAGCGAGGTTCTCATGGGAAATGTTGTAATGTTTTCTCTGCACTCAGTACCACTTCTGGAAGGATGAGATGTACAGGCAGCAAGAGAGTGCAAAGGGCTGGAGCGGGAGGTGCAGAGGACAGATTACATGAGGGGATGGAAGCACCGTGTTTTCAAGCCATTTCTTAACACAGCCACCAAACAGCCTTCTGTGCCGGGTGGGGCCCTGGGTTTGCAGGGTGGGGCCCTGGGCTTGCAGAGGCGAATGACACCATGCATAGTCAGCATGAGGTGTCTGGGGCTCATTCACCACATATTTATTTTTTTATTTTTTATTTTTTTTAAAGATTTTATTTATTTATTTGACAAAGAGAGACACAGTGAGAGAGGGAACACAAGCAGTGGGGGAGTGGGAGAGGGAGAAGCAGGCCTCCCACTGAATGCGGAGCTCCATCCCAGGACCCTGGGATCATGACCCGAGCAGAAGGCAGACACTTAATGACTGAGCCATCTAGGCGCACCACACCACATATTTAAAAAAAAAAATTAATAGTCACAACTGAACAGGTTATTGAAAAGATGGAAATGCAGGGCTTCGGTCTTCTATCTGTAGGGAAAAGCCTCTGGTGGCTTTGGAGTAAGCTGGTGAAGTGGTACAAAGTCTCCTATTGTCCTCCTGAGGAGAGGCCAAGTCCTCAAGCATTTCCTGGGGTTTTCTCTGGCACACTGGATGGTTCAGAGTAGGGCTGTGTAGTGCAGTTGTATACAATCTGGGTGAAATCCCAGGAAGTTTCAGACTCTGAGACCATTGCTGAACTATGATGAAGAAGAGTGAATTGACAGAAGCCTACATATTAGGGTGCAAGGAGAGGAACACAGAGGAAATTTTTGTTTAAGTTTCAAACTCATAAGATCATCCCCATTACTCGTTTGTGGCTCTACACACTTGCAGTGTATCATGGAGTAATTTTATACTTATTTATGCAGTTGCTTGCTTAGTATCTATTTCCCCTACTATCCTTAATGCTCTGTATCTTTTCATATTTTATTCAGTATCTAACACAGTACTTGACGCATAGTAACCGCTCAATAAATGTTCAGTTAAAGAATGAATGAGTCATAAAAAATATCCCTCAGCCGCCCACCTTTTACTAATTTTCATGTAGTACGTACATGCTGCCAGAAGGTGGCGATAAATGACCACCCCCGAAGATTTCGGACCTTAGAGGGAAGGAAGCAAAGAATTACGTAATGTAACAAATACGTTTGCTTCATCAAATGTGGATTTAGGTTTATTGCCTCAGTTTGACATAAACAGCAGGATGAGGCAGAAATGACCAGACAGATCCGCATGCAAATCCTGCCTCTGTCACATGCTGCCAGGAACCTGGGGCAAATGCCTGGACCTTTCAAGCTCGCTTCCTTAACCACAATGCGGAGTTTAGGATGGCAGGTTTTGCTATGAGGACTGAATGAAGTAGCACACGTGAGAAGTATTAGAACTGAGCCCTTTCCAGTCCTGTGTGGTAACCATTAAAGCGTTCCAACAAATGCTGAGACAGATGAAAATCTGTCCCTAACTTTCTACCTTCTGTTTTGTATGTCGTATTCTGGAAAGGAGTGTACATTTCTTACTGCTCCTCTGTATAACCTTGCAGCAGACTGACACAGGGGGAAGAGAATTAACTTCAGGGTTTGCTGGACCTTTCTGAGCCCATGTTTCCTTGCCCGTGAAATGGAGCTGAGGGTTACTGCTTGACAGGGGTATTGTGAAAACTAATAACGTAGCATAGACCATAGGACTCCATACAGACGCCGGTAGCCGCATGTGGTTATCTAAGTTGACAGGTAAGTTGAATAATATTGAAACATTCCGTTCTTTGGCTACACCAGTAACATTTCAAGGGTTACTTTCCCCACTGTTCTCAATTCTCTGTCTTTTTAAAATTTTATTCCCAGCACCGAAGACAGTGGTTGACCCAATACTGCTAGTAGGTATCATTTTGGACAGCGCAGTTATTGAATATTTTTATAATCACAAGAAGTTCTAGTGGACAGAGCTGGCTAGATTATAATGTCCAGTGAGTGGGGGCTATTTTTAGCAGCAGTGTTCAATCACCTGGTTACCCTGAAGTTGGCACTGAAAGTGTCTCTCTCATTTGGTCACTCAACAAGATCGTATTCAGCACCTGCCATCTGCAGACCTGTGCTATGTGTTATGGATGCAATGGTGAGCAAACAAGGCTTTGCACTCTGGGAATTTACGGTTCAATAACAATCCCCTAATAAATAGGAATGATTAATAATGTTCATAAATAGTATTAATAATAATAAATATTGCCAAGTCAAAGTGAAAAAAACCCAAACCATCCCTTTGGCTTGTCTTGAGGATTCTAGGAGACAGTGAATGCGTAATCAGTTGCAACTAATGCAGGATTAGGAAGGACAACGTCAAGAAGAAATCGGTTCACTTGTTCATTCGCTAAGTCATTACTGAGCGCTTGCAATGGAGAGATTCAGTAAGGAACTAAACAGTGTAGCAGCCGAGGCTCTCTGCCCTCACGGAGTTTACATTTCTCATGGAGGAAGAAAGAGGATGAATAAACAATTGAAATATGTTGTACGGTAGTCAGCTTTTTGGAGAAAAACGAGGCAGAGAAGGCGGCTAGGAAATCCTGGGAATGGGAGAACTGACTCGAGGCAGGAGGAAATTAGGGGACTGTAGCCAGAATCCCATGGGAGGTGATCGGGCTCCGGCTGAGGCAGAAGGGAGAGAAGGGGGTAAGCTATAGTTAATCCTCCCAATGGAAAGTCCACTGGGGAGGTCACAGAGGGGGAGAAGCAGAAGAGGTCTTGAGCCACCAGGACTTCACTGAAGAGTGAGGAGAAGGAGATGTTGTCCCGGCCCGCTCTCTAGTGGTGCTAGAGGGGGCCCTGGGAGCTTCCCCGGGTCACAGCTCTGAAGACGGACAGCCCATGCTATCAGGCTGTGCCCACCTGACTGGGCTCTGCTGAGAATCCGAGGGGAGGGGTCCTGGTCTCCCCTCCACATGCCCCCCAGAAAGAGGATGCAGCCCTTCTTTGCAGCAGCTCCCCACAATCTGATGGCGCCCTCATTCCCAGGCTTCCTGGGAAGGGAAGTCAATAGGAAAGGAAGATGTGCGGCCCAGAAAACCTATCTCAGGAACTTCCAGAAGTCAGTGCAGGGGAATGCCATGGGACAGATGCATGCTTCTCCTGCTTGTCGTTCTGCAGGAATGGTGACATTTTCCTGTGGGTATCATGCTACACTTGGTGGGCTGGGTCCTGGCCCCACCGCAGACCAGCAACATGGAAAGCCCGAGTTCTCAGGGCACAACTGGGGCACAAGATTGTCCCTGTGGTATGACAGGGACAGATCAATGTGTAGTCTTGAGGTCAGAGGCTCACCAGCAGGGCCAGAAGTAGCCAGCGATGGAGGGCCCTTCCTGCCCCCACCTTCTGTCAGGCTCCCACTACTAAGCTTGGAGACCCAAGTGTCAGAGCAAAAAGGCTGTGGGCCCACTCAGGGGGAGTCCTACACCCGAGGAAGGGGGCTCCAGAGGGCCCTGAAGAAACTGCCTCTGGTGAACCATTCTGGCCAGCCGTCATCCTCCACCCGGGAACCTCGGGGACCAGCCTGGTCATCTCCACCCCCAGACATGCAGTCCAAACTGCTGATGGTGCTCTTCTCACCCTGAGACTTGAGTCTAGGGTTCTGCTGACCAGTCCCTGGAGCAGACCCTGCTCCACCCCCCAAGCCTTCTCTCAGGTGCCCTCAGGAGGGCGGGCTGTCCCAAGGTGCCAAACCAGACAGGTGTGGCCTCCAAGAGCCCCACGACCCAGGTCCCACCATCACTGGAAGGACTGCAGTATCTGGATTCAGTCAGCTGACCATCTGCAACTGCTTCCAGGTGGCTTTGTTCTGTTACTGGAAATGCAAGATATACTTGAGATAAAATGTTTGACCAAAAGTAGAAAAACTAAGTGTGTATGCACACAGACATAAAATAGAAACTAGGAATTTATCAAAGACTAGCTATAGTCAATCATCTAATACAGTTTCTAAAATTTCTCACAACTAGATTCATCTTCTTTCAAACAAATCACTATGGACTGAATATTTGTGTCCCTCCCCAAATTCACATGTTGAAACCTAACGTCCCAAGGTGAGGGTATTAGGAGGTAGGCCTGTTCAAGGAGTTTAGGTCATGAAGGTGGAGCCCTCATGAATGGGATTAGTGCCCTTATATAAGAGACCCCACAGGGGTGTCTGGGCGGCTCAGTTGGTTAAGTGTCCAAGTCTTGATTTCGGCTCAGGTTATGATCTCAGGTTTGTGAGATCCAGCCTCACGTCAGGTTCCGTGCTGGGCATGGAGTCTGCTTAAGATCTTAGGATTCTCTCTCCCCCTTTCCCTCTGGCCCCCCCCAAAAAAAGAAGGAAAAAGAGACCCCATAGTTTCCTTACCTCCTATGAGGACAAAGCAAGAATTTAGCAGTGTGCAACCCGGAAGAGGTCTTTCACCAAAAACTGCCCCTGCTGATACCTTGATACTGGACTTCATCCTCCAGAACTGTGTTTATAAATCATCCAGCCTGGGACATTTTGTTACAGCAGCCTGGATGGACTAAGACACAGTGGAATTATATATTATAGAATATATATTATACACACACACACACATAAATATACATATGATTTTTCAACCTCAAAGTTTTTTATTTATTATATAGACTTGTAGATTATTAATGCCACTGAAAATTATTTCCACATCAACAAGAAAAACACACTGAATTTAAAAAATAAAAGAAATTTTAAGCAACAATACACAAAAAATACTTCTACTTCTCAGGCACTATCGTAGTCCAGAAGTGAATATGAGTTCAAGACCCCGATTTCTTCCTAAAGACATTGAAGAGTGTGGCTTCATTTTTCTGTGATGATCCCTCCAGAGCTGAATCATTTCATCAAAAGAAGGAGCATTCCCCTGATTAGAAAAACTCCAAGAACTCAGAACATGATAAGAGGAGTTTTCTAAAGGGAACAAGCCCTCCAGATACGTTAGCACACGCTCGGTCCTTCTGAAGTAAACGTGTTGGCTATAAAAGTCAGTAAATAGACCTTCTACAAGGCACATGTAACTTTTACAGCTCAATCGATTTTTTTCCTCAAGAATTTTCAGATCTAAATTTTTAATATACTGACTTGAAGTTCCCTGCTATTTTTAGATAAAACTATCAGATATCCCTTCCCTTTAAAGTATGCTATGTGAAATAAAGGTTAAAGCATTTCACTGCCAGAAAACCACACAGATGGAGACAATTACCCAGGGGTCTCAAGTCACAGCATAGCAAGCCTGGTGGATACACAGCACTGAGAGATGAGAATCTGCCAAGGGCTCACTCTGCTCTGCTCTGAGGCCATTTCACAGGGCCCAGCTCTCCCCAAGACTCCTGACCACAAGGCAGATAAGACACATCCGCAAAGAGCAGAAAGGGGTGAAGAACATTCGTGCACAAGGCACTTGTGATATGATGATATAATAAGAAATATATACTTGGTCTCAGTTCCCAGTTCTGACACCAGAGCTTCTAAGACCCTTGGACTCTCTGGAAGGATAACAGTGTCTTTTGTATGCTAATGAGGTGACTGGTGGCTGGGGGCCCTTTGATAGCTTCCGGATGGGAGCTGGTCAGACAAAAGACTGGAGGCATGATTAGAGGATGGGAACTCTGGGGAGGGGAGAAGGGCTGGAGATGGAATTCAATTGTCTTAGCCAGTGATTTAATCAACCATGCCTAAGTAATGAGGCCTCCAATAAAACCCTTCAACTACAGGTTTGAGGAGCCTCCCAGTTGGGGGACTCACTGAGGTGCTCTTCGGGTGGCTGCCCGCAGAGGGCTCTGTGCACCCTCAGTGCACTTTCCCCTACACCTTGCCCACTGGCTGTTCCTGAGTTGTGTCCTTTAAAATAAACCTGTAATAGTAAATAAAGTGCCTTCCTTAATTCTTTGAGTAGTCCTAGCAAATTATTGAAGGAGGGCCTTGTGGGCGCCCCCCCCCCCCCGCCCCGGCCTTTCTATCAGGTCTATCAGAAGTACCAGGGACTGACCACTGGCATCTGAAATGGGGGCAGTCTGGTGGGACTGAGCCCTTCCCTGTGGGGTCTGCACGGACTCCGCCCGGGGGTTAGTGTCAGAATGGAACTGAATTCACCTGGACCAGGTTAATAATGTCCAGAAAATCAGAGTTGTTAGGAAGGAAAAACCAAAAACCAAACCCAACCAAAACAAACCCCACACATTTGGTGTCAGAAGTATCATAAGTTTAAAAAAAACGTCCAGAGCACATGTGAATCAACCTTACCTATTTAGAAACTGTCAAGGTCAAAACTGTGTAGTTCAAAACTCAGCACCTGGTAGCCTGTCCTCAGGTACCCAGGCCCCTAATGGCATTATGGGGTGAAGCGGAAACAGGCTGAGCGGGAAGGAGAGGACAGGAGCCTTTCCCTCTTAACTCTCCACCTTGAAACCAATCCTGTAGTCTTGCCCCCTCCTCTGTCCTAGTTCTCATCAGTCCCGCCTTGGGTTCCCCCATTAACTGTGAAATCCCAGAGCCCGGGGACTACGAGCTGTGGATCTCTGCTTTCCCAGTACCAAAAACGGGGCCTGGCCACAGTTATGGGACCTCACGGGGAAATACACATTTCATTTCTGCCCAGAAATGTTCCACCTTCCAAGGGCTTCTAAGTATGGGAGGTGTGGGCAGCAGGCCCCAGGGCAGGAAGCACAGTGAGAAACATGAGCTGAGGGCCCCGGAAGGGAGACAGCCCCAGGTGGGCACAAAGCAGGCCCGCGGCTGGCCGGCCTGTCCCAGTAACCAGTGACAAAACTTACCAAGGAGCGGGGATGCCCGTGACATCCTCAGACACCTGCTTTGGTCTTTGTATTTGCAGGACTGATGCATCCATATCCCCTCTCTGCCTTAAAACAGCACGTGGTTTGTTTTTGCTTTTGGTTTGTGGTTTGGGGCTTGTTTCCACGGTCTTACCTCCTCCAGGGTCTGCTCTTCCTTTTCCTCCTGTGTTCATTCTTTGTCTCCAATGCCACTCTGGCCAACTGTTGGCTCTGAAAAGAAACCTCTTTATAGCTCTTAAAAATAAACCTCGTCATGTTCTATTTTTAATGGGTTTTAAATGTCTGTTCTACAAAAGAAAAGTCCCTGTAAAAAAGAAGAGAGCCAATGGAGCCTCACCCGGGGAGAGGAGTGTGGGCGGGGGCTGGGGAGCCGGGGCAGAGAAAACCAGGTCTGGGCAACCTCGCGCTGGCCCCCCCGGGCGGCGAACCTGGAGGTCCAGAGACGAAGGCGAAGTTCATGGAGCACCGCTCTGCGTGGGAGAGAAGTCGGCTCCCTACCTCAGTCCTTGTCCTTGTGGCAGCGAGGGCGGGGAAGCCACGGATGAGGGACCCTAGCTGCGGGCTCAAGGGCCCCGCCACCACGAAGGCCGCATGTCCCAGCCTCATGCACAGGAATGGCCTGATGGGCGCCTGCCTAGGCCTTGAGCACCGCGCCAAACCGCTGTCCAGGCGGGAGGCCTGCCTGCCACCCCTGCGCCCTCGGCGGCCTGGGAGCGCCCGCGGTGCGGTCCCCGGGATGGCGCGGTGGCCTCCCAGGCTTTCCCGGACTCCCCCCGGGCCTGAGGTTTTGCGCCTCCCGCCACCTGAACTTGTGTCTTCTGCTCGCAGTTCTTCCCGTACGGCGACGCCTCCAAGTTCGCCCAGCACGCCTTCCGAACCTTTGACAAGAACGGGGACGGCACCATCGACTTCCGAGAGTTCATCTGCGCCCTGTCCATCACCTCGAGGGGCAGCTTCGAGCAGAAGCTGAACTGGGCCTTCAACATGTACGACCTGGACGGCGACGGCAAGATCACGAGGGTGGAGATGCTGGAGATCATAGAGGTGAGGCGGTGGGCCCTCGGGGCGGGGCGGGGCGGGGGGGGGAGTGCCCTCAGGGCGAGGCCGGGGCGGGGCGGGGCGGGGGAACCCCTCGGGGCGGGGCCGGGGGGGAACCTGGGTGGCAGGGCCCGGGCGGGGCCAGGGTCCTAGTGGCCGGGTTGGGGGGCGTTCAGGGCGGGGCGGGGGCCCTCGGGGCAGGGGTGGGTGGGGGAGGGGTGGAGCGTAGAGGGACCTCCGGGCGAGGCCGGGGAGGGGTGGGGGGGTCTGGGGAGGGTGGGGGGGCCTCGGGGAGGGGCCAGGGGAACCTAGATGGCAGGGGCGGGGGGCTGGGCGGGGGTGGCCTTTGGGGGCGGAGGGCCCTCGGGGCGGGGCGGGGCCGGGGGGGGAGTGCCCTCAGGGCGAGGCCGGGGCGGGGCGGGGCGGGGGAACCCCTCGGGGCGGGGCCGGGGGGGAACCTGTGTGGCAGGGCTCGGGCGGGGCCAGGGTCCTAGTGGCCGGGTTGGGGGGCGTTCAGGGCGGGGCGGGGGCCCTCGGGGCAAGGGGTGGGTGGGGGAGGGGTGGAGCGTAGAGGGACCTCCGGGCGAGGCCGGGGGGGGGGGGCCTCGGAGAGGGGTCAGGGGAACCTAGATGGCAGGGGCGGGGGGCTGGGCGGGGGTGGCCTTTGGGGGCGGAGGGCCCTCGGGGCGGGGCCGGGCCGGCGGGGCTTCGGTGGACCTCGCGATGCGGCTGGACTTCGGGACCGGGATGGGACGGGACGGGGCGGGGCGGGCTAGGACCACGGCCGCAGGGCACAGGAGGCAGACCCCCCCAGGAGGAAGCTTCCTGGGGCCTAGGCTGTGGAGACTTCTTTTCTTCCCGGCCTGGAGCCCGGGTAGTTGCATGCCAGGCCGTGAATTCTCCCGACCCCCGTCCCGGGCCTCGGCGCAGCGCTGGGAAAAGTCACAGATCCAAGCCGCTGGGCCCTAACGCTGGGCCCCAAGGATATTATCAGACTCAGTTCTTCTGCCCTTGGTTTAGCTCTGCTCTGCTGGATGTCCCCCCCTTCCTCAAACCAGCTTTCCCCTGGTGGGCATCTTGGCTCCTCTAACTGGCATCTTAAAAACTTTATTGAGTTGTAATTTATAGACCACAGTATGCAGCCATCACCATAATCCAATTTTAGAACATTTTCATTCTCCCTGTAAGACCCCTCCTGCCACCTGCCTGTTCCTATTACAGACTCAGAAGACTCCACTCTTCTTTGTCTCTATGGATTTATGTCTCTGGACATTTCATATAAACAGAATCATACAATATAAATATATGGCTTGTCTGGCTTTTTTTTTTATCTGTGTTGTAGGATTCATCAGTGTTTCGTTCCTTTTTAGTTCTAAAATAGTATTCAATTGCACAGATCTGTCATATTGTTTATCTGTTTACCAGTTGTTGAGTGCTGGTGTTGCTTCCACTCCTTGGCCATTAATAATGCTGCTACGAACATTCACCAGCAGGTCTTGGTATAGATGGGCAATAGAAAGTTTCTATTTAGGAGATTCCCACGTTGAGAATTACTTGTGTACAGCTAATTGAACTGGATAGTCAGAATTCTTTAACTTACAGAGTGCCTGATCCACAGATCTCCCTACACTATCTTCTTTCTGAGCTAAATGTTAGTGGCCCACCTTGCTTGTCTTAACTGACTGTAAGTTCCTTATCAGCTGGGACCACCTTTTCTGTTTTCCTAAATCTACAAGGACTAGTGCTTGGTGACTTTCATCTGCACTTCAAACCCCGAATGTTTAAAACTGAGCTCATCATTTTCCTCCTGAATCTTCTCATCTATTATTCTTGCACCTACCACTGAGGTACTCTTTCTCCCCACTTCCTCCAGCCAGAAACCTGGGAGTCGGATGAAATTCTTTTATGCCCAATTAGTCATAAGACTCACACATATTTGATTATATCACTGTCTTACTTAAAACGACTTTGGAGTCCTTTGAAGTAAATTTAAATTCTTTATCAGATCGTGGGAGAACTTTATGCTCTGTTTCTGGTTTTCCCAAGGCTATCTATAAGATGGTAGGCACCGTGATCATGATGAAAATGAATGAGGACGGCCTCACGCCTGAGCAGCGAGTAGACAAGATTTTCAGCAAGATGGATAAGAACAAAGATGACCAGATTACACTGGATGAATTCAAAGAAGCTGCAAAGAGCGACCCTTCCATTGTATTACTCCTGCAGTGCGACATTCAGAAATGAGCTGAGGTCAACGCTATGGACTGCACAAAAGTCTCAATGTTCCATTCAGTCTGCAGCTATTCTCACACACACACACACACACACATATACACACACACGCACACAGATATTGCTTGGACTACCTATCAATGGACTTGCTTCTTGTGTTTGAAACACTTGTGTGCATGAGAATGTCATTTGCTAATGAATTTTAAAAGCATATATTATAAAACAACCTTCCACAATGTGATATGTGTAACATCATTTCATAAAATCCCTTCTCCCCTCAAGCCTGGACAGAAATGTGCTACAAAGAGTTCTATGGTTTCTTGTTCATGTTTTGCTAATGCTCGTGTCTCCTTGATTACATGTTCGTAGCACTGAGCCCCCCACGGTAATGTAACTTAATATAAGCTGTGTCACCATTCTCCTGTAAAATAGTACTGGACAGGCCCCGGAGGGGCTTCGGCTCCTCTGGGTGGTCCACACCCAAGAGCTTGTATTATCAGTGAAGATAAATGTGCTACATTTGCATGCCTTTTAGGTTTGCCTTAATTCTTACCTCATTTGCATTCTATCAATCTGGAAAGAGCTATGTTGGAATTAATGCAGTATAAAACTTAAAAATCCTGCTAAATGACTCATTAATTAAGTATATCTATCTCTATATACATATACACAAAGATATTATTTATTGAAAGTAAAAAAAGACAAAGCTGGAAGTGTATTGATTTTTGATTGAATTTTCAAAGGCTTCCAAAGAGGTGGCAATAGATGTCCCAAATAAATTTATAACATTTGACTTTTTCCTTCAATTCTTATTTCAGAATTTAAAATCTGATGTTCATAATTATCAAGGGTCAGCTAGCAACAACTTACCTACCCTGAAACACACGTCTTTGGAATTCAGAGAATTAATGACAATGAAAGGGGAAAAAAACAAACAACTTTCCAACTCTTCATCCTGGCCCTCAAAAGAGGGGCAATTAACACGGTATATAAAGTTCAAATAAAACATAAAACTTGTTCATTCTCAAAAATTGCTCATTGTATAAAATTATGTTTCCTCTCAATGTGACTGGGGCTAGCAACACATGACCTTCACCTGCTGTGGAGGACACAGGCAACCAGCCGAGACGTGTCCTCCAAAAGCAGCCCATAGGAAAGAACACTTCTGTCTTTCCAGGTCAAAAGTATACTAGTTATTTTTCTTTTTTTCTTTTTTAGAGAGAGACTGGGGGAGGGGCAGAGGGTGAGAGAGAGAGAATCTTAAGCAGACTCCATGCTGAGTGCAGGGCTCAACGTGGGGCTCAATCTCATAACCCTGAGATCATGACCTGAGCCAAAATCAAGAGTTGGACGTTTAACTGACTGAGCCACCCAGGCGCCCTGCTAGTTGTTATTTTTAATGATGGGACAAAATTCTGACCCTTTGAAGCCTGAGGAAGGCAGGCAGAATTCCCTCAAGAGCTCTAAAGACAGGTTGGTATTTTCAGAACGTATCTAGAGAAGCTCAGTTTTCTTCTACTATGCTGTGCAACAGAACTTTCTATGACGATGGAAAGGTACGTGTCTGCACTGGCTACATGTAACTATTGAGCACTTCAATATGGCTAGTGTGACTGAGGAAACGAATTTTTCATTTTAACTAATTTAAATTTAGGGTTCCTGGGTGGCGCAGTCAGTTAAGCGTCCGACTCTAGATTTCGGCTCAGGTCATGATCTCAGGGTCATGAGAACGAGCCCCGCGTTGGGCTCTGAGCTTACCAGGGAGTCTGCTTAAGATGCTCTCTCTCCCTCTCCCTATACCCTTCCCCCACCCCCCAAAATAATAAATGATAATTAATTTAAATTTAATTTGCCACATGTAGTGAATAATTATAGTATCAGACAAGACAGTGCTATGTTATTCACTTTTCATTGAGTGCCTTTTTTTTTTTT